GGCGGCGCAGGTAGCACCGTGTGCCGGCCGGAGCGCTGTTTCAGCTCATATTGTCCGCGATAGTACATTCTAAAGCTCCTGAGCCGCCTCTACAACACGCAAGAATTAGTGAAGACTAACATGATAGGGGCGCAAGAACGGGGAAAGAAGTACTACGACAAAAACAGTCGCATGCGTTCGTTCGATGAGGGCGACAAGGTTTTGCTTTTACGTTCGGCGAAAGCAAATAAATTGGAACTTCAATGGGAAGGACCCGCTACGGTAGAACAAAAATTGTCAGACACTAACTACGTGGTTCGACTACCGGGTCGCCGTAAAGAAGTGCGGATCTTCCATTGCAACCTGATGAAACCTTACATCGAACGAGTGCATGTCGCGAACATCCTTCTAAACGCGCCCGAAGAAGTTGCGCCAAAAGTTAATGTTCCGGTGCCTTTGCGTGATGATTTCACAGTAAACGAAATTTTGGATATTACGGTTAGTCAGGCGCAGATAACGAAACAGTAATTCGTCGAACTCGAGAAAATTATCTCTTATTACTCAGATGTATTTTCTACTAAGCCTGGTAGCTTATTTGATCACCTACGATGTAGAACTCTGTTCAGAGTTGCCGGCCACGGGTAAGCCGTATCGTTTCTCGCCTCGACAAGAACGTCTCATGAGGGAGGCAGTCAAGCAAATGCCAGATCTTGGACTTGTTGAGCTGTGTGAGCCTGACTACGCCTCGCCTATAATTCTTGTGGAGTGCCTGGGGAAGGATCCTATACCGTGTGTTGACTACAGAAAGCTAAATTCCGTAACGGTCACTAAGGTCTTCTCTATTCCGAACATGGAAGCCTGAATCGGGAGAGTCAGCTCGGCAAAGTACATTTCTATTTTTGACCTTGTCCGCGGCTATTGGCAGGTTCCGCTAACAAACAGGGCTAGCGACATCGCTGCTTTTGTAACCCCGTTCGGAACATACAGGCCGCTTGTGCTTAGCTTCGGTTTAGAAAACGCTCCATTCGTTTCTTCCCGTCTTATAAACAAGGTGCTTTCGGGGGCAGAAACGTTTGCGCTACCGTACCTTGATGACATTGCAGTTTTTTCAAACAATTGGGAAGAGTATAAACAGCATTTGCGCGACGTCTTATTTCGATTGCGTAGCGCGGGTTTGACAGTAAAGGCGAGAAAGTGCAAGTTGGCGCGTTCTGAGGTGAGCTACTTAGGCCACGTGGTTGGCCAAGGAAAGAGGCGTCCGCAACAGCTGAAACTCTTGGCTATCCATTAGTTTTCTTTACCGGACACAAAGAAAGACTTAATGTCTTTTATTGGTTTAGTGAATTACTATCAGCAGTACATCCCTCAGTTTTCCGAGTTAGCTACTTCGTTAACAGATGCTCTCAAAAAGAAAGAGCCTGTCCGGATTGTATGGGACGAAGTACAACGCCAAGGCTTTGAGAAATTGAAAAAAGGTGTTAATTAGCCCTCCTGTGCTGGCCAGTCCCGACTTTTCGAGGTTTTTCTTGGTACAGTGCGATGCAAGTGAAAAGGGGTTGGGCGTCGTGCTGAGCCAAATTGATAGCAAGCGGGACGAACACTCAATTCTGTTCGCTAGCCGGAACCTGACGACACGGAAACAGACATACAGCACGGTAGAGAAACAATGTGTTTGTATGGTCTGGGCTGTAGAGAAGATGAAATGTTACCTTGACGGTGCAGAATTTGTTTTTGTCACCGATCATAAACCACTAACTTGGCTGAGTCAGATGGCTCCCAAAAATGGTAGACTTTTACGTTGGAGCCTGACATTACAATCCTATTCTTTTCTAGTGAAACACAAGAAAGGAAAGCTCCACTGAAACGCTGACAGTTTGGGCAGAGCGGTCTGAATGCATTTCATTTCTTTTCTTCCTCTGGAAATAAGCTTGTCACTTGACTTTTAATCTTGGAAATAAGAATTGTAAATAAGAAACACTTTTGGGGGGTAGACTAACACACCTTCGGGACGGGGTAATCCCAAGTCGGGAAACTAAAGAAAATGTGGCAGTGCGGTATTATGGTTGGTGTAGTGTTTTTTCACTCGACAACTTGGAATCTCCATTTGGCATCTCCTGGCCGTCGCCCGGGTTTTCTGGTTGTCGTTCGTTCTACTGTCTAGCTGACTCGCAGTCGACAACCTCGGCTTCAGCAGCGCCCGGTGGCTCTACTGTCATCTTCCCCAAGAACTGCTGTCCCTCGGCTTGGACTTTTACTGAAGACTGCCCTGGACCCGTGGACCAGTATCAGAAGGGGCAACTGGGTCCAAGTCATCTACAGCTTCTGCACCTTGCAATTTTTTCCAACAACCTTCCCTGGAGAAAAGTCCCTTGGCTTCGAGGCTTTGCCGCCTGCCCTGGACAAGTGGGTCAAGGTTCTAGGAGTCGCCTGTGCTGAAGTGTGCAGCTGACGGCTCGTGCAGCATCCTTCATGAACGCTTCTCACCTGGGACACCGCAGTCATTGTGAGAACTGTTTCTTGGTTGCCAATATTCCGAGGCTCTGCCCTCGAAGGGGGTAGAAGTTGTAACGTATCTTATCGGCATGATAAGCGGGACGGGGCGCATGCCCAGTTTTCGATGCGAACTAGATAAAATGCCACTGCACCGGCCGTGGGAGCGCTTTTTGCTTGAGATGGGACTGAAATAAAGTCGCCTGCCAGAACGAAGGTGTCGTCACTCCGGCCATCCCGGCCGAAACGTTACAACGTCACCTCAACATCGAAAAAACGTGATAGAAGTGATGAGGGACGTCACAAACGTCAGGGACCTTTTCTCGGCGTTTCCACGACGTTTTGTGCTGCCTTGAGTTGACTCCAAACAAAACATGAAAAACATAAACATTTATATGGCGGAGAAGTGTCTGGCCACTCCAGATACAGTATCGTGTCTGGCCACTGATACAGTATCGTGTCTGGCCACTCCTTCAGGCTCAATGTACGCGTCTAAGTTGTGTACACAATTCTGCTCAGATTCTGCGTCGGTGTATTCCGAATAAGTCGACGTCCGCAAGCTTAACCGCGGGTGGGGTACACATGTAGACGCGCGGTTCGTCGCACTTGGAGCCAAACCCATTTTTCAGAAAATAAGCCTGGAATATCGAAGTGTTGACGGGCATCAGTTCACAAACCTCTTGCGTGCCTACAGCTGGAGCCGGGGCGAAGTCCCAACATAGGGCGCTACTGCTGCGTTTACTTACGCATTCGTGCCTTCTCCCGCGCCGGTGACGATATTCGACACTTACTGGACCCTGGTCTCGTGTGGGATTCTTCGGTGCTGGATCTGGGGATGGCTAAACGTTGAAGGTGGTCATGTTAAACAGAGCAGAGGAGACAAAACCTTCAAAAACAAACAAAACGAAAGGCCGGAAATCGCGATTCATGGGACTCGCCAAGATCAAATATGGGCAACGACAGTACGATCGGCCCTCATGTGAAACGCTAATTTCTGTGGATCGCTGTTTATCGTGCCCGATCGGACAGTTCTCCGCAAGCTCTTGAGGAAACCGCACACAGAAACACGGCCGTGGTAAAAAAGGTATAATGGTAAAAAGAGTCGAGCTGGCAGATGCATCGACGTTCGGCCGAGCTGGTGTTCCATCCTGCGGCTTTCTGATGTTAGTCCTCGCTGTAGTTGGCCTTCACAGTCCCGTTGTCAGCCTTCCACTGACATGACGCTTCTCCGCCGCTGGCCTCTGTCGGTCTGGTGGCGGGCCATCGGCCGACCAAATGCTCAGTCCACGTCTGTCTCTCAGGCCGCTCTAGTCTCGAGTGTCGCTGGTCTATTCGAATCCTCCTGCTCGTGATCTTCAGAGCCTCTCCTTTCATTAATTTCTCTCGTCCATGTGCCGTCTTTCTCTTCTCCATCTACAAGCTTCATCAACGGCAAAAAAGAATTACTCAATTTCCCTCACTTTTTTGTTTTTGTTCAGCGCTAGAGTCCTAATATCTTGAAACATTTATGAGCACACAGGCCTTCCACATTGCACCGCGAAATGCCGAAAAACTCTTCATCTCACTTATATTCTCGTGTAACAGTTACATGCCCCTAAGCCGCAGATTTTCAGCGGTATACCCTACTGGTCAAGAGCACCCCGCGACACTTTTATGAACCAGTATTCGTCTCTCTTATATTAACCCGCGCTCAGCAGTCTGTCCTTGTTTCCAGCGCACGAGGCTTCTTGGCTCCAAACAAAACATGACGAATTCACCTTCCCTAGCTGGTTGTGCAAGCGAGTCCGGAAACGGCGACTCTGTGAGCTGTCGTCTTTTTTGTGAATTACATTCTTTTTCCTGAGTAAACTTTCTTCGCTGGAAGACCCGCGTCTTGTGTCAACGTATTAGATGGCCGGATCCCATTGCGTTGCACTTCGGTCAATTGAGTATATGTCCCTTTGACCCACTGGTTACAGCACCCAGTACTTGTCTGTAATTCGTTACTCTGAAAATAATACGACATATTGCAAATTAAATTTCCTATAAAGTAATCCATGAGGTACTGAATTACAAGAACAACAAATTACAAGTATTTACGCCATGTGATACATGACGGTAATAATCCCTGCGATAGGGGCACCAGGAGCAAAGGAAACACAAAGTCCAAACGCAGCTAAGTCTCGGTCCTGGCATCAAACCTAAAACCTTTCAATCTCCAGTGGAGCGCGGTACCATCTGAGCTAACCAGGACCAGGCGGTTGTTTCTCGTTGCGCTCCAGTCACCTTGCTGTGTCTGGACATTTGCGCTTGTTTTTTGTACCCCTTGTTCCCTTTCTCCAAAGGTTATTATAGTCATTACTGTCCCACTCTCTTGCGCCTTTGCATTAAGTGCATTGTCATGACATGTAACATGTCAGCGAAGTCTTCGCAGTGGAAAAACGTATCCATGTTTTTTTTTTCTTTTTTGGTAAGAGTAATTTTATCTTGGATGCCATGATCTGTCGGGGCACCTTGGAATTTAATAAATAAATTAAGGAAATGCCGCAGTCATGCTTGAGAGGAAAGTTCTGCAGAGTGCGCATGACCTTTGTTGCAACCAGAAATGCATTGTGATGCCTTCAGATATGCTAGATTGCAAATACCAACACAGGGTTCAACCGAATCTGCCCAAGCATAGGTCTGTCGTTCTATTTTTTTTTTCTCGTTGCAATATTTGCAGGGCAGGTCAAACTATTCCGCTCATAGCTGGTACATGTCATGGGTTTACAGTTTAAAATATAAAGCAATTAATGCAATTTTGTTTCCCCGTACATGTATACGATACGATACATTCTATCAAGCTTGAAAGTTGAGTGTACATCATGCGAAAAAGCCGCAATAACTTCTCCGATTCATTTTGTCTTTTTTTACGATGGTGTGACGCACTGAGTTCGCTGCATGTAGGCATGCTTGGTCACCACTAAGTTTTTTGGCCCGTTGTCCTGCTACAATGAAACGAGTTTAGTTCTTTAAAATGATATACTAAATCGGAGTAAAGCCGGAAGGTTTAACCAGGTCCATCAATTCTACATTGCCGTTGCGAGTGAAAAGTAGTTTTATATTGCCTTAGATACACAAGTGACCAGGTAGCATTTCCGAGCTTCTGGCTCGGTCTGTTTAATTTTACGACACACGCTCAACACAGGCTGCAGCCAGATGCGTGTTAAGGGGCTCGTATTCCGATACAGTGAGAGTTGTTGGGCATTTACATCACAAGTAGCTTCACAATTTTATGTTCTTGAAGACGTTGTACGGCCCCTCAATAATAATCAACGCCCGATCGGTCTTTGCTTCGTTCGTTTCCCCAGGAGTGACAACACAACTACAACACTGCGAATGGGTTTAATGTACTTCCTGGTCCCCCGTCTTCAACAGCCAGTTGTCCGGGACCGCCGACCCTAACTGTCACCCGTCGGTCAGAGCTATAGAAGTTGGAGAACGTGTCCGGGCCTGCGGATACTCCTTCCCACGCCACAGTAGCCTAGGCAATACGTTCCGGTCTATCATAGCTCGAGTCGGGTTATGATATAGTATGGCCAGGGCTCGTCGCTCCCGTTGGTTCGAACCCCGATAGTGGACCGCTCCGGGCATCGCCTTGGGCCAGGCCGGCTCCATCGTTCCTGGCCGGCCCCAGAATCGCGCAGCACGTAATATCCGGCACCAGCTCGTGCCTCTTAGGCAACGGGTTTGTCACGTGCCCTCCGCCCAGTCATCTTCCACCCTCGTCTCCCACAACCTCTGACGTAGCTTCCAGTGTTTTGGCACAGCAACAAACAATTTTGTAGAAAATATTTTCTAGATTTCTAGTTCGTGCTACGTAAACAGAGGACAAAATTATAAACATAGATTCATTCATCTTTTAACAGTTTCTGATCATCGAACCTACCTTTTTGCCAAATGCAATACCCGGTCAGAATAACTTGAGGTATAAGAAATAAATGAAAAAGAAACGCCGTAGTCATGTGCAAGAAAAAATGCGCTGCACAGCTACGATTGTGTGGGCGCGCCAAGGAAAAATTCATTGCCATGCCTTCATATATGCTATATTCAACATACTAACGGAGGGGGGGGGGGGAGGATGGGGGAATCTGCACAAGCATGAGCCGATTGTTTTATTAATATTTTGTTTCGTGGAAGTATCACGTGGCGGATCAAATCAATTTATATGACAACCACACGCTTTTCTGCCAATAGTTAGTCAAGGCACGTAGGGCACTCAACCACGAACTTTCTTGGACAACAACCCCTAAGCGTATGCACTAAAAGCAGACATTCGACTAAATAACAAAAACGTTGCAATGTTCCCTGGGAATATTTTATACGACAGCCATAACATATCAATATGTAGTAATAAAACTTTTGGACGCGGGTGGTTTTTACTCCCCGAATCTACGTTTTGTTTTTGAATAGAATTCTTCGTATTACATACACACAATAATTTCTTCATTTTCTTTACAAAAGATTGTAATCCGTACTGAAAAAAAAAAAATCATTTGGCGCCTATATGAAGGTAAACGGGTTCATACCGTTAACAGTTTATCTATACCGGACACCAGTTTGTCAAAGGGGTCGCCCGTAGGGCTCAAAGGGGTCCCCTGTATGAGCCATAATGGTTACCTTTTTGGGCAAACAGGTCACTCCTTGGGCAAACGGGTCATTCGTCTGATCAAATGGGCCACTCGTTTGAGCAAAGTTGTCGCACGTTTGCTCAAACCGTCGACCATGTTGCACAGGCGGATGACCGGTGACCGGCAAACTGTACCGGTTTCATCAAACGGCTCTCCGAAGCCCGTTTGATACTGAACGTACCGATCGGCGGCATGTGCGCGCCTATTTCAGCCGTGGAAGCCTGTTTCCAGAAAGCCGCGGGAGCGCCGGTTTATCGGTTTACAATCGTCCGCATATTGCAAGGAATGGTATTTATAGTTTTGATTGCGCTGATGTTCGCTCATACTGCAACGGCAATAAGCGATTATTTTTATACGTAAACGTGCGACGTTGGCGAGCCGATATTTTTGACGGAACTTTAAACATTTGGCGTTCTTTGTTGCAACAATTTACTTATTCAGCTCGAATCTCTCGCGCAGAGGACGCGACCGCGTGAAAAAATATATTTCTACGCCCCATTCCACCTCAATTCAAGACTCAGCGAAGGTAACGCGCGAACACGTGGCTGCAAGAACATCGAGCATTGCGAGAGCCGGCCCGCCGTTGCAGCAGTCAATTTACGAGCTCGCGCTGGGTGCTTTTTTGGCTCAGGCGCAAGCCGAGCTTCTGGCCGACGACATTTCTTGGGTTCCAGCGTGCTGAAATGAGCGCGTTTTGTCTGCTTTTCGAGGTTGCAAACGCGACGTGCAGTGGCAATTCGAAGAGAGGAGGAAAGCGCGTGTACAGCGGTCCGTGCACCCTCTCCTCTAGCATTGACTGCATTACCACAAAAAGGCAAGCGCAAGTTGAACATGGTTGTAAACCTGAGACTCTGGCAGAAAAGAGAACACAACAGAAGGTAGTAAAAGAGGAGGCAACGTCTCCTCTTTTACTACCTTCTGTTGTGTTCTCTTTTCTGCCCCGGTCTCAGATTCCCTATTGAAAATCGCTCTGATGGGACTTCAGGATTTTTTTAAAGGGTGTGAAAGGGACTTCAGGAATTTCTGAGATGTTTGACGGGGGCACCGATATTTCCTGGTGGGTTCACTGGCCCCGTCAGAGGCTCTCCTGAAATGTCTAAAGTCCCCTTTACGATGCCTTGAAATGTCTGAAGGCCTGTCAAGAACTTTTCTAATGGGGTCGGGAAAACCTTCAGGCCTCTTGATATGTCTGTGTGGGCAACGGCCCAGATGGAAAAAACACATTTCGCAGAATTAATGAACATAGCTGCTTATTGTACGCTACGGGGGAAAAAATAAGTATTTGGAGAATGCCGATCGTGTGTGAGTACGGTCAGATTTTTATTACTGCTCTTCTATCAAATACGAGTGGGCTCCTGGACCCGTCTGTCACTGCCCGGATGTTCGGTCGCGAAAGAGCTACTGAGGGCGACTGCCCATGTGGAGAATTGACGAGCCGCGGGCCGAGTGGTGTTGGCCGAGCGGCGTTTTGAGGCGAACGCAATCCTGTCCGCTCGAGGCGAAATACGTGCAACCATGTATAAAAAAACAAGAAAAAAAAAAAAACAAGAAAAAAAGAAAAGAAAGAAAAAAAAAATAACAAGCCGAGAGCAGTGCGCGCTTTCCAGGAACAGGGACGCACGCGGGAGCGACTCGTTCCGGGAACCGGTCCCCCCACGGGGGACTGTCCCCAAAAAGCAATCGCCTCTCTCCGCCCGGCGATGGGGAGAGGGTGCAGGGCTGCCAGGCCAGCGGTCGGGGGGAGGAGGGTGGTGTGTGCAAGCGGGGGAGGCCATAGCCATTTTCTCTCTGCTCGTGTGCGGTTCCGGTTATCCCCCGAGCCTGGATGTTTGGAGCGGACCAATTTCCTCCAGGAAGGTGAGCATGCATGGTTTTGAGGGCTCGCCCCTTGGTCTGTTTTGATCCGTGCAGTTTCTTTCTTGGTACCGCAGGTGAACCATAGTTCGGCGCAGGCCGCCTTCAGCACCGCTCGAGCGCCTTTGTGTTCAGCGCATTCAAGGAGATGGTGGCCGGTGTCGGCTTACTCGCTGCAAAGCCTGGCAGTCGGGGTCAGCGTCCCACCGCATGTTGTGCCTGCGCACCGGGATTATGGCACTGTGGGTGTTGAGACGGTGGATGACGGCCGCTGTCCGGACTTGTTCCTTGCGCCTCTTCGTCCGTCCGACTTCAGACCAGCGAGCAAAGAATACGCCGAAGACGCCGGCGCGACGTCATCATGGACGAAACCGTGACTGTGCTCGGGATTTCTCAACGGCGGCGGGTGCTGCTTACGAGTTTGTGGTTTTCGCTAAACGTGCTTATTGAGACTGTGTATGTGTCCGTGAGGTGCACCTGCTCGGTTTTATTAGCTGAACTACCGTACATCAGGAATATACCCAGCGGCATTGTGAGTACTTTGAAAGGTATTTTTCTTTGTGATAAGGATGTCAGTTGTCCCTGTTTGATGTGATCCCTTTCGTCTACAGCTCCTTGCGCCGGGTTTGAACAAGCGTTGCTTTTTGAGTTATAATATGCATGTAAAACTAAATGTCGGCAATAAATTTTCAGTGTTTTGACCTGCATTTTTGTCTATGGTTCACAGTCATTTGGGCGTCTAAAGGGTTGATGGGCTAAAGGGCCTGACGGGTTAAAGGGCTGTGGGGCTAAAGGGTTTTTCTATGGGGTATCCTTGAAGGGTTTTTCTGTGGGGTATTTTTGAAGGGTTTTGAAGGCCTGTGAGGTCCCATAATCCTTCAAGGCTGACGGGCCCTTGTAGAAATATTTTCAATAGGGTTTACAACGATGTTAAACTTACACCAGCTCGCCTGCACTCTATTTTTTCGTCAACCGCAAGTGTTTTTTTTTTTTTTATAGAATGCATGAGGGGAGAAGGTGGGGGGGGGGGGTGTCCTGCGCCTTGTCCTCGCCGTCGCCCCCTACCTCTTCTCTGGTCAGCTCTGTCACGTGACCAGAGAGAGGGGAAGGCGCGCTACGCAGCCTACGCGCTGATAAGCATATCCAGATCCGACAG